GACTTCGAAACAGCAAAACTCATTCGGGCATAGCAAAAAAAAGGCGCGTTAATTAATCATACAATCATGAAAAGATGCTTCAACAAACCTTTGAAACGATACTTATTTTGTTATTTAAAACTTTTATAGCCAAATTTTTTAAATTCTTGGATTCTTTGAATAATATGTAGTAGCTCACATTGAATGCTTTAATTCCTGTATAATCGTTCGAACAAAATCTTTTCAGTTCCGGCTTTTTGTTAGAAATTACATTAAGATGCAATTGCTCGTTATGTACTTTCTAACAAAAAGCCATAAATCATTATGTGACAGGCTGCATTCTCATGTTCTTTTCATATTTCCTGGATATCATTCAATAATCCTCTTTGTTCATTTGCTACCTCTCACGGATTCAGTGTATGGCCACGGGAAAATACAAAAGAGCATTCTGCTGCTCTCCGATGCTAATAAAGAGGAAGAATTTATCAAAAATCACCTCTCCGGCACAAGCAAACAACTTACCGTGTTTGCGTTTCTACGGGGAAGCGTCGTTGGCTGTTGCTGCGACTATACGCTTGTCCAAGGGGCAAAAGTGGTAGCGATGGTGCTGGTCTTGTGTAAATCCTTGCTCCTGCTGCAGTTGCCGGTGCTGTTGAAGGATTTGAGATGAAAAATGTTGACGATTGTCTGCGCGGTGGCGGTGGTGGTGGTCCATCCTGCCATGTTGCTGGTCGACTGTAGCTGGAACGTGGGGCAAAAGATGGGGGCCGAGGTGGAGCACCGTCGGACGATGTTTTTAGGCGCAACCGACGTGGTGTATTTTCGGGGCGACTCTCATCCGGTGCATCTTTTCGAAATTCACAGATATGCAAATCCGGGGTTGTACGACCGTGAAAAGTTACTGTGTGTGTCGGTGTTGGTGCTGCTGCTGGTTGCGAAGGTGATGATGACGAGAGACAGACTGGCACCGAGGGAGCATCAGTAGATCCCGGAACTACGAAATTGCGATGCTGCGAAGGAGGAATTGCAGTTACCAGTGCTACTGCTGCAGCAGCAGCTGCTGCGGCTGCTGCAGTG